GTATGTATGGCCTTTAATCCTACTAACAGCCTTGTGAGGTGCAATTCCATTATTATCCCTGTTCTTGAGATGACGAATGGGGGCCTTTAAGAGATTAAGCCTCTTGCCTGGCGTCTCACATCTAGTAAGTGGTAGGGCTGGAATCCAAGGAGCAGTCTGACTCCAGAGCCTGAGTGCCTAACCGTGAGACAACACTGACTTTGACTGCTGCCCTCACCCCACTCTGTCCAGCCACAGGCAGTCAGGGTGTTCCTCCTGACATCTAACTAAACCTCACTCACTGGCCTGAAGTCCCCATCTTCTGGAGAGAGATGAGCTCCACGCCCTTGAAAGGGGAGTAAGCATGTCCAGCACAGAGATAGAGGAATGGCCAGCATGGCCTCAGGGTCGCCATTGGCCAGAGGGATGGGAGACTCTCCATCTTTCCCACCCTGCGATATTCTTCCTCCAAGCTCCGCCAGCTGCCCCCAAACTCAGGGGACTACCCCTTTCCTATTCTCTAACTTGGGCCTTCCATCCCCCCAGGGCTGCCCCCAAACCCTTTTCACCAGGCCCTGCCCTCACCTAACAACACCCCCCTCCTCCCAGGCACCAGTGACTTTCTTCGACTCCACGCCCACGGGCCGGGTCCTAAACCGCTTCTCCTCCGACGTGGCCTGTGCGGATGACAGCCTGCCCTTCGTCCTCAACAGCCTCCTGGCCAACGCAGCAGGCCTGCTGGGCCTCCTGGCTGTGCTGGGCTCCGGCCTGCCCTGGCTGCTGCTGCTGCTGCCGCTACTGAGCATCATCTACTATCGTGTGCAGCGCCACTACAGGGCCTCCTCGCGGGAGCTGCGGCGTCTCGGCAGCCTCACCCTGTCTCCACTCTACAGCCACCTGGCCGACACCTTGGCTGGCCTCCCCGTGCTCCGGGCCACCAGGGCCACCTACAGGTGTGTGAAGTCTGCCTCTCTCAACCAGAGCCAGGGGGATGAGGGCTGGGGAAGGGGAGAAGAGGGACCCCTGAGAAGAAGGCCTTGTGGGGGAAGGGGGCTTCAGTTCTCCTGAGAAGGGAAGGGTGGGTAAGGGCACTGGGGGAAAGAGGAAAGAAACAGAAGAAAGGGATAGTGAGGCAGAGCAGACCCCCCTACAAAAGAGCACATTGGCTCCTGTAACCCTGAGGTGAGGCCTGTGGGTGTGCAGATCAGCTCCAAGAAGGAGGCGCTCTGTGGGGAAGGAGTCTGGGCGGGTCAGTGCAACAGTAGAGCGGCCTCCTTCCCTCCTGGCCTCCCCCAGGTTTGAGGAGGAGAACCAGAGACTCCTGGAGCTAAACCAGAGGTGCCAGTTTGCTGCCAGCGCCACGATGCAGTGGCTAGACATTCGGCTACAGCTCATGGGGGCCGCGGTGGTCAGCGCCATCGCAGGCATCGCCCTGATGCAGCACCAGCAGGGCGTCGCTGACCCAGGTGCCACCCCGGGACCCTTCACTCTCACCTCAGAAGCATGTTATTCCCACCCCCTGCCCCCTACCTTTCCCTGCACTGTCCTCCCAACATTTTCACCTCCCACCCAGAGTATCCTGTGAGGATGTGTTGTAATTTTCATTGCCCCCATTTTGGAATTGAGGAAGCTGAGTCTAAGGAGTGACTCGCCCAGGTGGCGGTGGATCTAGGACTTAGAAGGGTCTTCTGATCCTCGCCCTGCCCTGCTCCACCCCATCCCCAGCACTCTGCTCCGCCCCACCTGTCATCCCTCACAGCCTCTCCAGGCCCACTCCACTCCCTTGCATGTAGCCTCCTGTGGTCCTGGTCTGGGTCCTGGCATCTTTTTGTTTCTCTGCTGGCTTCCTTTAAATGCCCACAGTCCGCAGCATGGGATTCCCCTGTTCTGCCCCACCCCTCCCCACACGCACCCCAGTGTCTCAGCCTCCCCTAGCGGCTAGTGCTCCTCTTCCCCAGGACTGGTGGGCCTGTCCCTGTCTTACGCCCTGTCCCTGACGGGCCTGCTCTCGGGCCTGGTGAGCAGCTTCACGCAGACGGAAGCCATGCTGGTGAGCGTCGAGCGGCTGGAGGAGTACTCCTGTGACCTGCCCCAGGAGCCCCAGGACCGGCTGCCACAGGTGGGCTGCACCCCCGCCCCAGTCCTGCGCGCTGGAACCCTGAAGGACCCTCCTGATGGCCCCAGTTCCTTTCCTTTCACTCCTCCCATCTCTCTCAGCTCCTTTAATGTCCCCGTGTGATCTCCCTGTTCTTCACGGCACCCCTTTTCTTTGTGTCCCTGCTCCCCATCTCTCCTATACTTGCCCCCATTCCCCCACCTCTTCTCTCACGCTGTCTGCTTCTCATTCTCTTTACTCTCCAACCCCCCTCCTCCTTCTCGTTCCTCCCCATCTCACTCATCTCCCTCCGTCTCCCACCACCAGCTGGGCATCGGCTGGCTGACCCAGGGGAGCGTGGAGTTCCAGGATGTCGTGTTGGTGTACCGGCCAGGGCTGCCCAATGCCCTGGACGGGGTGACCTTCCGCGTGCAGCCTGGAGAGAAGCTGGGCATCGTGGGCCGCACGGGCTCCGGCAAGTCCTCCCTGTTGTTGGTGCTCTTCCGGCTGCTGGAGCCCAGTTCAGGGCGAGTGCTGCTGGACGGTGTGGACACCAGCCAGCTGGAGTTGGCCGAGCTCAGGTCTGAGGGAGGGAGGAGAGGGGAACCAGATTACTGGCACTTAGGAAGGCCTAGCCAGGAAGGCTGTATATAAACTCCGGGCAGCCGGGGCCGACTAGGGGGCGAGGCGGCGGAGAAGACGAGCAGGTGAGGAGAGCAAGCTCCTAGTGCCCAGGTCCAGATTCACACTGTGGTCTCAAGGTCTTCCATCTGACCCAGGCCCACCTTTCAGCTTCATCTTTCTTGTACTTCCCAGCATACACCCTCCACTCTAGACCACCAGTCACTGCCTCCTGAGTCACTCCCAGGTGCTGTGCCCGACACTGATCCCCTCAGCCCTCAGGCTCAGCAGGCGGTGCTTGGGACAGCTCAAGACCTGGGCCACTTGCCCCTGGCCACAGTGGCCTCATCTGGGGCTAACATCTCCCCACCCCCACCCCCAGGTTAACCCAGTATGGTTTTCACTGAGTTCCATGACGTGGAAAGGTAGGGAAGCTCTGTCCCAAACCCCATTACTGATCTAGGGCCCCGGCCCCTACCCTCCCTGCCTTACCTCATAGCTCTACCATAGAGCTCCCAGGACCCAATTCCAGGCCTGCCTCCAACCTTGAAGCATCCCCTCCCCGTTCAATCTCTGGTCACTCCTTGCCTATCACTGCTGTCCCAGTGACTGCTGGAGTCAGTGCCACACAGTTTAGCTCACTCTTGTTCTCTGTTTTTTTGCACCTCAGTGAGATGCAAGCTCCTAAGGAGCAAGTCTGGGCCTTTGGTTTCTTTGTATTCTTCAGAGCACCGCACAGTTCCCGGTACCCAGCTGACCAGTGCGGGTGCAGAGAGGGGTTATATTCAGATCTTATCCCCAAGCTTCCAGGAGGTGCTAGACCTACAGCTAAAACCCATGCTGCAGCAGAAGTGGCCTCATTTCCAGCCTAGACCCCATGTCCTGTCCCCCGGCTTGTCCCCCAGGTCCCAGCTGGCTATCATCCCCCAAGAGCCCTTTTTGTTCAGTGGGACCGTGAGGGAAAACCTGGACCCCCGGGGCCTGCATGAGGACGGGGCCCTGTGGCAGGCTCTGGAGCAGTGCCACCTGAGGGAGGTGATCCTATCCCTGGGTGAGTACAGACCTCCCCTGCAGGGCTGCAGAAGGAGGGAGCAGGGAGAGGCCCGGGACCTGGGGCTGAAGCTGCTGTGCCTTGCAGGTGGTCTGGACGGTGAGCTGGGCGAGGGGGGCCGGAGCTTATCCCTGGGGCAGAGGCAGCTGCTGTGTCTGGCCAGGGCTCTCCTCACAGATGCCAAGGTAAGGCGAGAGGAGGAGACAATCGAGAGGGCCAGGAAGAAGGCAGGAGACATGTCAGGGGTGAGGATGTGCGTTGGGGAGAAGTCTCAGGGCACCAAGTTAGTTTCCTTTTAGAGCTGGAGGTGGGGAGCTGTAGGCTGGGCTGGGCCAGGAGTGGGGGCTCGTGGTTGGGTAGGAGTGAAAGCTAACCCTCTTCTCCCTCTTCCTCCCCCACCCCCTCCACATGTTCCAGATCCTGTGTATTGACGAGGCCACAGCAAGCGTGGACCAGAAGACAGACCAACTGCTCCAGCAGACCATCTGCAAACGCTTTGCCAACAAGACAGTGCTGACCATTGCCCACAGGTGTGCAAGCGTCCAGAGTGAGACTCTAACGGGGCTATGGCGTCAGGGACCCTAGGGGTCAGGGCCCTAGAGAGTCCACCCCCCCATGAACCTCAGCTCCTCATTCTCCAGGCCCTGACCCAGGCCTTTATAGCACATTGTCTGAGGGAGTCTGCAGCCCCTCCCCTAGCACAGAGCCAGGGACTAAGGCCTGCTGGGCAGACCTGTGCTGTCCAGGGGAGGAGAAGAGGGGACACAGGTCAGCTTTCTTCTCTAGGGCGTTGTCCCCCATGCCCCCACTGACCACCATCTCCCACACAGGCTCAACACCATCCTGAACTCGGACCGGGTGCTGGTGCTGCAAGCAGGGAGGGTGGTAGAGCTGGACTCCCCTGCTGCCCTGCGCAGCCAGCCCCACTCGCTGTTCCAGCAGCTGCTGCAGAGCAGCCAGCAGGGAGCCCACTCCTCTCTCTGAGGGCCCGAGCCCAGTCCCCCACCCTGCAGGGTCTCCCCTCTGTCTGACCCTCTGCTGGGCGGCTGCAAAGGGGCAGGCTGCTTGTTTACATTCTCCTCTGTGGCTCTACCTCTCCCTCATTCCCCAGAGGGAAAAAGGGTGCCCTGGGCTCCTCTTTGGAAACCACTCCTTCTTGAGGGGCAGAGTCCCAAGGCTTGCCCAGGACCAGGCCTCTGCTTGGGCCCTCTTGCATCTGCGACTCCAGGCAGGTTCTTCTGGCAAAGGAGCCCATTTGCACTTTTATAATTTTATTTGATAAAATTCCCATCTTACATTCTAGGTATTAAAAAAATAATATTTCTGGTGTGAGGCTGAGGTCCCTCAGTGTGTGTACCCTAGCTAAGGGGTGGCAAGAAAGGACCACTCCAGTCTGAGGGGTGGAGGTGAAGGAGGGGGCCGGAAAGCCCCCCCGCATCACAGTGCTGTGGTCTTGCCAGGCTCAGAGGGCAGGTCAGGCGGCGGGGGCAGCCCTGCTGGCAGCATGCTGACCTGACACTCCTGGTCCTGGCGGGCTGGGGCATAGTGTGGGGCTGGGTAGCAACAGGGTCCAGGGGGGCAGACACCCCGGCGCCAGGCCCTCAGGGTCAGCAACCCTGTGGACAGGACCAGGGCAGCAGTGAGGGCCCCAAATACCACCACGGCCACCAGGCTAGACTCACCCAGCCCAGCCTCCTGCCTCCGCACCACCTCTTTCACTGAGATGCGCAGCAGGCCAGCCCCCACACTGTGGGGGACAGGCCCCGTGGCAGGTACCACCGCAGCCAAGGTGGGCCCCCGGGGGCTGTCTTGTGTGGTGGCGGGGTCCGGGACAGGTAACACTAGCTCACAAGTCTTGCCACCGTAGCCACTGGGGCAGAGACAGTCGAAGTCATGGACACGGTCCCGACAGCGGGCCCCTCTCTGGCATGGGCGGCTGGCACAGTCATCCAGGTTGATGGTGCAGAAGCGTCCAGCAAAGCCCTCAGGGCAAAGGCAGGAGAAGCGGTTTATGCCATCCAGGCAGGTGGCGCCGTTAGCGCAGGGCCGCATCAGACAGTCGTCTACGTTCACCTCACAGCGGGCACCCACAAAGCCCACCAAGCAGCGGCACGTGAAGTTGAGGGCATAGCCCTGGTCGTCCTGGCACTGCCCACCATTCCGGCATGGGGAGCTGGGTTGGGGGTGGGAGAGGGCATTGACACTGACTTACACCTGCAGGGTGGCCCAGGTCGGCATCCTGACCACTGCCCCCCTCCTTCCAGCTGTGTCACCTTGAGCCACTCTCTCTGCACCTCAAATGCCTCATTTATTTATTTTATTTTTTTGCTGAGGAAGATTCGCCCTGAGCTAACGTCTGTGCTAATCTTCCTCTACTTTGTATGTGGGTTGCCCACATACATTGACCATTGCCCACAGGTGTGCAAGTGTCCAGAGTGAGACTCTAACCAGGGGCTATGGCATCAGGGACCAGCATGGCTGACGAGTGATGCAGGTCCGCGCCCGAGATCCGAACCTGCAAACCTGGGCCACCCAAGCAGAGCGTGCCGAACTCAATCACTATGCCATGGGGCCAGCCCCGAATGCTTTGTTTTAAAAAGGAAAATAAGAATAGTACCCAGCTTCCTAAATTGTGAGGGTTAAATGAGATAACCCGATGTCAGGCAGTTGCACAGGGCCTGGCCCAAAGGCAAGGCTTAAGGCCAGTGTGCTATTATCATCCCCGTAGGCTCTCAGGCCTGAGGCGGAGACGAGGACAGGTCCAGTCCTGCAGGCCCGTTTCTTCACTCGGAATGAGACGTAAGGCTGCCATGTGGAACATCCTTAGGAGCTGCATCCCAACTTCCCTGGGAGGCTGAGGGGAGTCCTAGGTCCTCTACCTCCGCACACCCACCCTCCCCCGTCAGAGCTGTCACACATGGAGCTGGTATACCTCCAGCTCCTACGGATTTTTTGTTGTTGAAGAAATGGTTCAGATGGTACAAAAAAAGTTGATAAACCCTGAACTAGGATAGTTTGCCAGGCTGGGGTTTTATCCTTGGGTGTCCCCATGTGGGGCATCTCTCAGCCCTAACACTTCGCCACCACCCTCAAACAGTCCTGCCTCCTCATCTTCCCATCACCAGATTCTCATCTGACCTCCCACTCATCCCACGGGGCCAGCACTCACCCTGCTTGCTCACAGGGTCCAGCCTTGCGCTCACAGTCACGCCCGTGGAAGCCTGGTGGGCACTCACAGTGGTACTCGCCACCTCCGTCATATATGCACTGGCCTCCGTTCCAGCAGGGGGACTGCGTGGTACAGATGTGCTCGTCTGGAGAGGAGACCAGGAAGGCTCTGGGATAGCCCCTCACATCTGGCACCCAGAACTGCCCAGTTCCCATCCAAGGCTCTGTGGGTGTGGCTTGCACCACAAACCCACCCCGGGCTGGTATGGTGTCGGGGAAAATAACAACAGTGAATCTGGAGTCAGGAGGCTCCTGGCACTGCCAGTCTGTCTCACAGCGACTTTGGACAAGTTGTATCTCATCTGTGGGTCTCAGTTTCCTGTATACAATTTTCCTGTATACAAAATGTATACAGTTTTCAGCAGCTGCTTTGCCTACATCATGGGGTTATGTTCAGGACCAATTCAGACAACAGATAGGTGTAAAGTCTAAAATGATAAAATACCATGTATTTGAAAGATTGAGCCAGATAACAATAGGTGCTCAATAAATATGGATGGGTGTTCTCCCAAGACACATGTTCTCCCCAGCTCCACAGCCACCCTCTCTACTCCCCTACCTTTGTCACAGAATTTGCCCGCCCAGCCACTGTGACAGATGCACTGCCAGGGCTGGTGGCAGGTACCGTGCTGGCAGCCAGGCATCCTCACACAGCGCTCACAGTGCAGCCCCTCCCAGCCTGGGTCACACCTGAGGGGGAGAAGCACAGTCAGGGCTCTGGGTAGGGAGATGTGAGGAAATGGAGGAGGCAAGACCAGAGCTTCTAGAAAACAGGAGGACATAGGACAGCCACTAAGGGAAAGCAGGCCTATCCCAGGTAGGTGTAGGGCTGTGCAGGGTCACAGGACACATATGGAATCAGACCATCAGACACCAGCATCAAGTCCTGCTTCTGCACTTACTTTCTGAGGCTTAGTTTTCTCATCTGTAAATTGGGGATACACCTGGCAGGGACATGTTGAGGGAGAAATTAAATAAGATGATGTCTATAAATGCCCCCAGTACCATTCCTGGCATGTCTGAGGTGCTCAGAAACCCTTAAAAAACAAGAGTGACCTTGAAAGGTCATCAGGATTATCTTCCCACCCTGATTCCAGGCCAAAGCCTGACCTATTTCAGAGAGTCCCCAACACCCCTAGCCTTTCCAGCAGCTTGCCTTGTCAGCTCATTTCTTTATGTCCAGACACTTCCCTCCTGCTACAGAATTTGCCCAACCCCCATCCCAGTGAGTCAACTTCAAATTCATAGAGAAAGATCCTGTTTGATGAGAGTGTCTCCCCAGCAACCCTCCAGCAGCCTTTCTTTTCCAGGCTAAACTAATTATCTTTCCTTTATCTTCCTCTTTCCTCATGGCTCCCAATCTCCAAACTCTCAAGCTTCAGGTCTTTCTCCTGGTATCTTGAGCAGGAATGTTTCAGAAATCCTGATCAAACTTGGGAGAGTAAAGAAGCGGGGAGACATGAGCCAAAAGCGAGGCACAGGGGAACCAGGGGTGGGGAGAGGCTGGTCAGCCCGCCCTGTGGGCCATGAGCGGCTGGCGAGTGAACAGTAGGGTATACACGCCTAGACACTCTGCCCTGAGGCTTGACCTGATTGTGGGTGTGGAGGGCTGGGAAATGGGGAGCAAAGGCTTTGGGAGCACATGCTCGGGAGAAGTACCTGCAGGAGCCGTCAGGCGCACAGCAGCCGTGGGCCAGGTCACAGTAGGAGCTGCAGTCATTGGCTGCAAGAGATTGATGTGGGAGGGCTGAGCCCGGGGTCAGGGTTCAGCTCCCTGAGATGCGGGTCGGGAGAGGTGCGGGTGGACTCAGCTTTGGGGCAGGACAGAAGAGACTCTCATGCTATTCGAAAGACAACCTGGGTCGGCCAACCCCGCGGGTCGGAGCGGCTGCAGTGCCGTCCCTGGCCGGCAGAGGTCAGCGTGAAAGCGAGAGACGGCCAGACAGGGCCTCGACCTGAGCCCGGGGGCGCGCTCACCTCGAGCAGGCAGAACGGGTGCCCCCAGGATGCACAACAGGCACACGAGATGTAGGCAGCGGCAGCCGCTGGGCATGGTCAGCGCCGGCCCCAGGAGGGACGGACGGATGGACGGCCGGACGTGCGGACACCTGTGGGACGGCACAGGCTGGCAGGCGGCCGGACGCGGAGATAGCGGCTTGGATTCCGGTTCCGAGTGACAGAAGCGGAGCGGGGAGAGGGATGTCCTGACAGAGGGGGATAGGGGCAGCGAGGGCGGGGGTGGGGAAGGTCTGAGCAGGCGATGAGAATGGAGACAGGAACCTGGGAACGGACTCTGTGGGAAGGAGGCGAAGGATGGGCAGCGCAGAGCGAGGTCAGGGCGCGGGAAGGGCCGGGGCTGGGAACGCAGTCTGGACGGAGGAGTCCGCGGGGGACAGCGCCGAGAGGCAGCCTCGAGCACGGAGAGGAGGCGAGGGCCGGTTCCCGGCCGCTAGCAGTTTCAGCCCCCCACCCCGGACCCCCCAGCACTTGCTCCCACGTCCCCTTCCGATCTCTGCCGCGCTCGGCTCGGCCACGGCGCCAGGCCTGGAGTCCCCAGAGCGCCCCTAGCCCTGCGCGCCCCTGCCCTCGCGGTCCTCACCTCGGGCTGGGAGGCAGCGCGCCCCGGGGCTCAGAGCGAGGCCGGATCCGACGGGCTCCGCCGAGGGCCGAGCTGGGGCAAGGGGCCGCCCCTAGCGGGCTGCGGGGCCGCGAGCCGAGCCCGCTGCCATGCGAGCCGAGCGCTCGGGAATCTGGGGCTCAAGGCGACTCCGAGCGGCGGCGGCAGAGGCAGCGGCGTCTCCTCGTGCGCGCTTAGGCCGCCTGCC